TGACAGCAGTTAATAGAGCCTCACGTTGATTAGGAATAGAGGGACTAGCTGACACCACTCTACTAACTGCTTCTTGTGTTAACATACGTTCACCATAAAGTAACCAAGCAATACTAACAGGATCACAAAGAGACTGAGACAGGGCAGTATGACGATTGTTAAAAATATTAATAAGAACCTGATGTTCTATGATAGAAAATACAATGATTATAGTTACATACAGTTATGGTTGACTCACTTAACTTCTCAGCTACAGCAATTTCATTCATAGATCGTAGAGCATCTGCCAGTGAGTTCAAGTTGGCTCCTCCTCTGCTGTCAACATTATCAGCTCTACCTAACCATTGGGAGAGGCACTCTGTCATACACCGAGATACATCATGAGGATGATTCTTTTCTATGACGTCCAGTGTACTCTTCTTTAGTCCTAGTCTCAGTCCAAGCTCATACCAATTTGCTTTAGGAAAACCACATCTCTTTAATAAATCAATAACATCAACAAGATCATCAGCACCTACAAAACAAAAACAAAATGGCTGATTTCACATCATCAACTCAGTGTACCTAAACAAGTTTGATTAGTGGCCATAGTTCCATTAAAAGAATCTGCCTCAAGGCCAGAGCCTCAGAACAAGACTAACACTGAACAACAAAGACCTTCTCCTTCGCTTATAGTGAGTTTTGCTACGTAGCTGAAGTCAGCAGCACATTCACCAGCCTAACATTCACTTATAACCACAAGGAATTTGACACGCCCACGCATTTACAAACCACGAATGTTAGGCTGGAAAGATGGCTACACGATTGACACATCATTTTCTAGCTATTGTGGACAGGCCTGTTTGGTCCTACTGGTGAGTTTAGCCTGTCCAGGCGGTCATACTATCCAGCCTGTACTAGGTAAGTGCAGGTATATTATAGATGCCTCTGATACTTTTCAAGTGGTGAGTTGACTGAGTTCCTAGTTTAGAGTTTTGATTTTTTTTTGGATAATTAAAACTGTATTAATATCAATATTGACATGACTACAATAATAGCTTGTTTTCCAGAATGCAGTTTACAGCAGTGTCATATTTGACAGTAAATTTTTTCATAATCAGCGATGCTATAATCTATAACAATGCTCAATTGTTATGTCAAATTTAATCAATTCTCTTACTTCAGGCCACACAACAGTCTTAGATTTTTCACTTAAAATTGCCACTGATTCATTACGAAGATCACTTTCCAACTCCAAGAGGTACAACATTATTTCCTGCATCTAGACATGCCGCATAAAGTCAATATGTTGTTAATAAATGTATACCATATCATCTTGTTGAATCCATGTTTTGTCTATTATTATTGATTTTATATACTTATTTTCTTTGTGCTGGACAAATTCACTGATGCACTCTTCATTGTGTAATTGTCTTATTGTTAACTGTGGAAAATAATCAGAATTGTGTGTTTATATCTTACTTCCATTTCTTTCACAGTTTTTCTGATAAATGCTCGCCCAAACAGGCAATCCCTGTCATTAATTTTATTAAAATAGGTTATTTTGGTACATTCACATGTGCATTCACTATACTTGTCACTCATTTTTCTGTCAAATTTTGGGTAGTTATTTCTTACGAAATCCTCTCCCCACTTCAAAGATGCTATGTCATCTCCCACATACTTATTTGTGTATGTTGGTATCAAAAAATCTGACGTGTCAGTCTCAGCTATTGAGTATAATTTAAATATGTATTGTCAGAGTTTTAACTTAAACATACTTTGCAAAGAGGTTTCAAAATGCTGGGCCTCATTATGTTGCTCTGATTTATTCTTTAAATAATTATTTAAAAAATATATGTGAATTCTACCTTGACTGATTTCTTGTAAGGAATCATTAATAGCTAGTTTTGCTGTCCCATTTAAATATTTGAAATTTTCATCAATTATTTCTGCTCCCTGACAACTTTAATGGCCACAACACAGTAATGTACTGATACATGTATACATACGTAACTTACCATGTCTTTATAAATATATTATTGAAATTTTCACTCTGTTTTTTATTTAAAACATTAATTTAATCATTACTGATACTTACTGGTATTTCGCTATCCTTAACTAGACTATAAATATGCTGTATT